CAGTATTTCTAGTAACCTAGCAACGTGACCTAGCAACAGTATTTCTAGTTACCTAGCAACGTGACCTAGCAACAGTATTTCTAGTTACCAAGCAACGTGACCTAGCAACAGTATTTCTAGTTACCAAGCAACGTGACCTAGCAACAGTATTTCTAGTAACCTAGCAACGTGACCTAGCAACAGTATTTCTAGTTACCTAGCAACGTGACCTAGCAACAGTATTTCTAGTTACTTAGCAACGTGACCTAGCAACAGTATTTCAAGTTACCTAGCAACGTGACCTAGCAACAGTAGTTCTAGTTACCTAGCAACGTGACCTAGCAACAGTATTTCTAGTTACTTAGCAACGTGACCTGGCAACAGTATTTCTAGTAACCTAGCAACGTGACCTAGCAACAGTATTTCTAGTTATAGGGGGGGGGTGTCATGTCCGTCTATGTCCGCCTATGTCCTGTCCTTTTTGGATTCTATGAGACAACGGACGTGTTTTTTGGGACATTGGCGGACACGGACGGACATTGGCGGACTCGGACGGACATTGGCGGACTCGGACGGACATTGGCGGACTCGGACGGACATTGGCGGACCCGGACGGACATGGATGGACATTGGTGGACATTAGCGGACATTGGTGGACATTAGCGGACAAACATTTTGAGGACTGAAGAGTACTGAAGAGTACTGAGGAGGATGGCTGAGAAGGATGGCTGAGGAGGATGGCTGAGGAGGATGACTGAGGAGGATGACTGAGGAGGATGACTGAGAGGGAGGAGAAGGATCAGGAAGACCCAGGAGGAGGAGGAGGAGGAGGACCCAAAAGGAGGACCTAGGAGGAGGAGGAGAACTGAGGAGGATGACTCAGGAGGAGGAGGACTCAGGGGGAGGACTGAGGAGGACTGAGAAGGAGGAGGACTGAGGAGGATGGCTGAGGAGGATGGCTGAGGAGGATGACTGAGAGGGAGGAGGAGGAGGAAGAGGAGGAAGAGGAGGAAGAGGACTGAGGAGGAGGAGGAGAAGGACTGAGGAGGAGAAGGAGGACCCAGGAGGAGGAGGACCCAGGAGGAGGGGTCCAGGAGGAGGACCCAGGAAAAGGCCCCAGGAGGAGGAGGAGGACCGGGGAGGAGGAGAACTGTTGAGGACTGATGAGGAGGACTGAGGACGAGGAGGAAGAGTAGGAGGAGGACTGAGGAGGGGAGGAGGAAGAGGACTGGGGAGGATCAGGAAGACCCAGGAGGACCCAGGAGGAGGAGGACCCAGGAGGACCCAGGAGGAGGAGGAGGACTGAGGAGGACTGAGGAGGAGGACTGACGATGACTGAGAAGGAGGAGGACTGAGGAGTACTGAGAAGGATGGCTGAGGAGGATGGCTGGGGAGGATGGCTGAGGAGGATGACTGAGGAGGATGACTGAGAGGGAGGAGGACTCAGGAGGAGGACTCAGAAGGAAGAGGAGGAGGACTCAGGAGGAGGACTTAGGAGAAATGAGAAGGAGGACTGAGGAGAACTGAGGAGGAGGAGGAGGATCAGGAGGAGGACTGAATAGGAGGAGGAGAAGGAGGGGGACTGGGAGAGGACTGGGGAGGAGGAGGACTGATGAGAAGGATGAGGAGGAGGACCCAGGAGGAGGAGGACTGAGGACCGAGGAGGAAGAGGAGGAGGATGAAGAGGAGGAGGAGGACCCAGGAGGAGGAGGACTGAGGAGGAGGACTGAGGAGGAGGACTGAGGAGGACTGAGGAGGATGGCTGAGGAGGATGACTGAGAGGGAAGAGGAGGAGGAGGAGGAGGACTGAGGAGGACTGAGAAGGAGGAGGAGGACTGAATAGGAGGAGGAGGAGGGGGACTGGGGGAGGACTGAGGAGGAGGATGGAGGACTGAGGAGAAGGATGAGGAGGAGGACTAAGGAGGACTGAGGACTGAGGAGGAAGAGGAGAAGGATGAAGAGGAGGAGGAGGACCCAGGAGGAGGACCCAGGAGGAGGACTCAGGAGGAGGAGGAGGACTGGGGAGGAGGAGGACTGATGAGGAGGACTGAGGACGAGGAGGAGGAGTAGGAGGAGGACTGAGGAGGGGAGGAGGAAGAGGACTGAGGAAGATCAGGAAGACCCAGGGGGAGGAGGAGGAAAAGTAGGAGGAGGAAGCATCTAAATGTTATTTCCATTTTTGTCCGTTTTTGTCCGTTTTTGTCCATTTTTGTCCGTTTTTGTCCGCTCTATTTTTTGTCCGTTTTGAAAATATAGGGTACCGAACGGACAAAAAAACATGATCCCCCTATAACAGCAAAAATTGAACATTTTATTAAGCAATTTAGGTGTCCATATGTCCGCCTATGTCTGCCTATGTCCGCCTATGTCCGCCTATGTCCGCCTATGTCCTGTCCTTTTTGGATTCTATGAGAGAAGCGGACATAGACGGACGTGACACCCCCCCCCCCCCCCCCCCCCCCCGTTATAAAACTCAGCATGTCATTAAAAGGCACAATCACTGCGTCATCCGTGATGTCATCATGATCTCCAAACCAATCCATCCTTTAATGTATGTCAGAGAATATTGCAAGTGTTCAGTTGGCAACTATCATTCTTAGCCTTTACATATATAAAGTCATAACCTTGACTAAAATAGTGACATTACAGCGGTTGTCATTGGTTACCAAAGCTATCCCGCCTCTTAAGCCCTACTTGTCACAGTGTTACTTTCTCTAAACTCACTAATACGTTAAGGGGGCCGGGGGGGGTCTTTATGAAATTTCTCTCAAAATTGATTTTATAGTTGTTTCTAATAGAGGGGAGTGATATCTATCTGCTACTTTTGGTCCCATGGAAAAATATTGTTCCTAGACGAAATTATTGGCGGTCAAAGGTCAGCGCTCATGTGTAATTGTATTGCGCGAGCGATTTTCAATCGCGCGCCCTGAAAATCGAGTCTAAAAATCTATCTTCTCCTACATTTTTTGAGCAATCACCTTGAAACTTTCAGGATATGTTCTAAGGAGCATTTAGAAACTTCAAAAAATGTAGGAGAAGATAGATTTTTAGACTCGATTTTCAGGGCGCACGATTGAAAATCGCTCGCGCAATACAATTACACATGAGCGCTGACCTTTGACCGCCAATAATTTCGTCTAGGAACAATATTTTTCCATGGGACCAAAAGTAGCAGATAGATATCACTCCCCTCTATTAGAAACAACTATAAAATCAATTTCGAGAGAAATTTCATAAAGACCCCCCCCCCTGCCCCCTTAAATAACTCCTAGTGAACCCTGAATCTAGGTTTACATTAGTGATGCATTGTTCAATAACCAGATCCTAGAGCAGCACTTTTTACTATCGCTAGTGTTTAAGTCATCATGTGTCAATGTCATGATGCTGCTTTACTTAAGGAGATATTAGCCAGGGGTTCCATGCGTGAAACTAGAGGTAGTGCTGATTGTCATTGTAATTAGAAGATGAACATATTGTAAACTCCCTGTTTACGTTAGTATTCACTGTACTCCAGTTATCACATTACACAACATGTTTACCTTCAGTTATATGCAGCATCATGAAGTGACTTTGACAAGTAACTTTAACACGTGACTTTGAGACTAGTTACTTTACCGTGAGGGACATCATGACAATATTATGACACCTGCCTTGATTTAAACAGAACCTTCTCTCTTATGAGACACTTCTGTGACATTTCCAGGTTATTAATAAAACATTACCAGTTGTCAAGTGTTTAATTAAGTCATTTGTGACACCCTGCTGACAGACATTCAGAGATAGAGGTATAAATCATGTGTAAAAACATTGGACAGCATAAGATCATCAGAACGCGTAATGTCTCGCTGTATTGACATCATTGTATTTCATTTAACCTGTACACTAACCAGTATGTAATGATATCATCATATTTCATATAATAAACTCTCTGATTTACACTGTACAGAGTAGCTATAAGTCCTTGGATGCGCCCAATAACATAATTTAGCAACTAATTTCAGATATAAGCGACTAAATATAATGCACTTAGCATTATTACTTTACTTGTACGGAATCTGGCTTTCAGCCAGCTAGAATTTAGCGTTTTACAGCAAAACATTAAGCTCAAAGATTTGAGATGACTCTGCACTGTTCACTGACTGCAAACCTCCCGTGTGATTATGAGGATCAAAAACATCAAGCAGAGTAAAGCAGGCGCAGCTGACATTACAAGTACATTATAGTTATGTAATTCCTACAATATACAGATGTCTAGACGAACATTTGGAACTGAACTTGTTGTCCACTTTACATAGCACTCAATTTCTTCTCTCAAGCCATTTAAATTAGTTTAAGTCCAACATTTTATGACAGGAAATTTCGTTAAAAGTTTCGAAAAACGTCACAGGCTAATGTATAAAATGTAAATACATTTTTTCCTGTACAGTGTACATAAATTTTATATATAATAAATTTGAAATGTATGCTGCAAGAGCACACTATACACGCAATGTGTATATTAATATATTTCCTGTATAATACTTGTCACATTGTTTCACATAGTCTCACGACGAATGGGGAAATGTCCAGCACACATTTTACACATTCTACACAATCTATATATTCTACAAATTTTACATATTCTACACATTTTATATATTCTACACATTTACATATATTTATTAACCATGCCATATATAATAAATTCACGGAATCCTAAATAAAGGTAATGTAAAAACTAAAAATAATTTTTTCTGTACTATGTCAAAGTATATTTAAGTCGCTTTAAGTTAGAAACATGTCCAGAAAAAGTATAATTTCTTTAGTGAGCTATGTGTTGGGCAATGTGTGAGTGATAAGTACTTATTTGGCTTTCAATGTATTTGTACTCCTCAGCCTCAGTTTTAGACCATAGCGAGTGAAAAGAAAGCAATAAAACTATCCTTTAATTAAACCTTAAGCTAAGAAGTAATTCTTGCATAAAAAGTCAGTATAATTAACTTTTTGATGCAGAATGAGATAATTGTACTCAATGAACTCACGTTTTTCTTATCTTTGATGAGTTTTGCCACAGCAACAGAGCATACTTTGACTCCTCTGGCTTCCTTGACCTCTTCATAGCCCAAATACTGTAAAATACAGCATGTGAGTAGTGCAACAACATCTCCTGGTCTCATTTATTGAGTATAAACTGTTGACTTATCAAATTTGTCTGCTTTTGTCATAGCACATGATGGACTTTGACAAGGAAATTAAATAAAACATTCAGGTTTGCTATTATTACAATTGACTTACCTTCACACAAAATGAGGCCCCAGATTTGGCAACTAAATCTTTGTCAGCTTCAAAATGTTGCTGAGAAACACCATTCTTCTGTTGTCCAATATTTTTCTTTATCTTCTTCATATCTTAACTAAGTTATTTGCAATATTTATTTGTATAATCTTTTAGCTTGTGTGTTGATAACAGTTGCTCTCTTATCAGTAAAATCGTTTAATTACACTGCGCTCACTGTGTAGCCTTGTAATACAAGTTAAGTACATCATGGACGATATGGAATTATTAGAGCGTGTGTCAGCTCGCTCTGTGTATTTGACTGAAACGCATCAGGATTTCCAGTCTTGGATTACAGAACTTGAAGAAGCCTCAAACTGTGATGAATCAGAGTTCTCAGCAGAACAATTTGAAAAACCAGGGAAACCGACTAAGAAAGTTATGTCAAATTTATTGTACAGTGTGTACAGGCATATGAAACAATTTGTAGGAGAAGCTGTCAAAATGAAAGAAGATGTGGAGGAGTTGAAGAACTCTCTTATTCGATCTCAAAATTTGGTGATTAAACTGCAGAGTGAACTTCTTGAGGGCAAATCAAAGCAGTTGGAATCTGTTCAGACCACCGTTAAATCTGCCGTTCAGGAAAGTGTACAAGCTGAGATCAGGTCATACAGTAAAGCTGTTTCGAAGGTCCCGCCGGAAACTGCACTGACAGAACAGAGCTTGAAAAAGGTAGTTCAGAGTGCTGTATCGAAAGAGGACCGCAGTAGGAATTTGGTCGTGTTAGGTTTCATGGAGACAGATGATGAGAAACTATCCGATAAAGTAAACGAACTGTTTGAACAAATCGAAGTAAAACCACGCTATGAAGCTGTCAGGATTGGAAGGAGATTAGCCGACAAGACCAGACCTGTCAAAATATCGGTCTCAAATACCAACAATGTCCACGAGATATTATTGAAATCGAAAAAACTGAAACTGAGTCAGCACCACAAAACAATTTTCATTTCTCCGGATCGGTCACCTGAGGAGCAAACCAAACACCATCTGCTGGTATTGGAAATGAAACAGAAGGCAAAGGACGATTTGAATAGACGCTATTATATTAGAAGTGGTATTATTTGTTGTGAGGACAAGATCCTAGACTAATTTAAATTATTTACGACATTGTCATATTCATTTTCACGCTTGTCTTTTTCACTCACCCTTTAGAGCCGCTCTGACATGGTTAGTAGCTGGCACTTGTGCCGGCAGCTAACCATATGGGCGGGATATAAGCACATTATTTCATTTCATTTCATATTTGCGATATTAAATGTTCACAATACAAACAAATACATATCAAAGAATTCTAACATTTACTTTACATTGCATTGGCATGAATATATGTATGAAATTTCTGTTTAACTGACATTTTTTTGTTCAACTGATCCTGCTTAAAGAATATTATATATAATATGGCACTGGAATTCTGATATCCTTGTACAATCCTGATGCAGCTGATGACTGATATCTAGGGACTACCGGTGGGTGATGAATAATTGAGAATCCAACAGGATCTTGTTCTCTTCATTGTGCTGATTCCGGGAAGCATTCGTTTTACGCTCTAATCCTATTAAAAATCGAGATATCGGTCATTGAAAAATGAGTAATTATAGGCCTGTCAAAGATTGCAGCCCAATTAAGAGCTGATCAGTTGCAGCTACTTGTGCCATATAAGGGATAACTGAAGTCACGTGACCGCCAATCCTATCACGTGACCTTGATTCGTAAATCCTTGGTCACGTGATCACATTCGTAACGTGTCGAATGCTGACTAGGATATCTCGTGACGTCACCAGAGCTCAAGCTTCCTGACCAGGCCTTATATGGAATAATATAGTGTATCACGTGTAATTGGATCCAATTAAGATGAGCTGCGCAATTATCGCAGCATCTCGATCTGGTATCACCTTTTGAAACCCAGCAGGCAGCTGGGCCAGAGGTTTATAAAATAGAAGGATTTTTTGTTGATGAAAATCGAAGCGAAAATCATGTAACCCTATGTTTCCGAGGACGCCGAACACGATAAAACTGGTTATAATTATCATACTCAAGGGCAAATTGCTTTAAAATGCACTTGAATGTCATCAAGGATGGTAAATGCGTTTTGGGGAGACTACGCGTAGGTACTACGCATACGTATTTCCCGATGATAAATTACGTATTTCAAATTAAGTTGCAGTAACGCGCGAAGATCTATATATAAATATTACGTTACAGTATATGGAATCGTGGCCTAATTGGTTAATACGCTAGCTCCATATCAGCAGATTGCGAGTTCGAGACTCGGATGTGATCATTTTTTCCCATACTTTTTGGCAATTATGAATAACTAATGAATAACTAAAAATACCTCTGTTATGTAATATAACAAGCAAGGTGAAATGAAATCGTCATCCGGCTGAAAAATTTATTATAGCCGTTTTAAAAGTTTATTATAGCCGTTTTTTCTTTCCAGGCTGGATTCCTAGTCACTTTTTAAACTTATGCCACTGGGAAGTCCGTGTTAATCCGGTAACCGGTTTCAAAATTCAAGCAAGAGAGACTTGTGATCTTAGTCTGCGAATATTGTAATAGATAAAAATGCACTGGAACTGGGTCTCGGTTGAAAGTCTATTCCTCGAGGGAGGCATAACTGCTTTATAACCTGAGAAGCTCTGCTCTGCAGCAGACTGACTGATTGGTTGGTTCAGCATAAGAATAGCAAGTCGCTGCAGCGTTTTCATTCGAGCACCGTGAAGTCTCCAAAACGACTGTCAGTATTGCTATATTAATATACCACTGGGCCAGCGACGCACGCGCAAATATCACTAATCTGTAATCACGTATTTCGAAAGAGATACGCGCGTATTTTGGAAAATTTTACCATCAAAGAATTTAAGCGCCAAATTTTGCCGTATTTCACGTATTTCTTAGAATTTTTGAATACGGCGTATTTACAGGCGATTTTTTGACGTATTTACCATCGATGAATGTCATAGATGTTATTATAAGCTAAGCGCCTGAGCGGCTTATTGGGTGGCACCAGTCTCTCTGCCGAATCTCAGTAATTGTAAATGTAAACAACGACGCTACTAATTCTCAACTAATAATCGGGCTTATGAAGGAAAGATCTCAAGTTCAGAAGACGAAAGAAATTTATTCAAATATTTGCTTAAGATTAACGAATACGGATTTCAACCAATATCGAAAAGGACTACCAAGGATTGTATCGGGACTTCTACAAGCGGCATTTCAAGTCTTTATAACGGTTTAAGGATGAACTTACGGTATTTAAGGATTGTGCTAGGGCTACTTACGGATAAGTTGACGCTCCTGTTATGAGAATGGTCCCCTTCCGTTGTACACTACTCATTACCTTCTGCCTCAAATTTAAAGTTAACCTTACCTTTAACATTAAACTTTTTCCTATCATAATATGTAGTTAATATTACCTTGTATCTTACAATTTGAGTTACCATTAACTTGTGCCTTATATCTGGAGTTAACGTTACATTATACCTTATATCTGGAGTTAACGTTACATTATACATTACTTATTCTAGAGTTAACATTAGCTTGTGCCTTACATCTAGAGTTAACAATTAACATTAACTTGTGCCTTACATTTAGAGTTAATGTTACATTATACCTTATATCTGGAGTTAAAGTTACATTATACCTTACATCTAGTGTTATTGTTAACGTTACATTATACCTTTCATCTAGAGTTATAACGTTACATTATACCGTACATCTTGAGTTAACGTTACATTATACCGTACATCTTGAGTTAACGTTACATTATACCTTTCATCTAGAGTTAACGTTACATTATACCTTTCATCTAGACTCTAGAGTTAACGTTACATTATACCTTACATCTAGAGTTAACGTTACATTATACATTCATGTTATTTTCTTACCTTTCTTTTGACGTATTACCAAGAAATCGCTGGACCTCGTTAGTCGATAAGGATCCAGTTAGTGACGAGCTATGAAGTTATTATTCGACCTCTTTAATGCTGATTCTGTCAGCGAAGAGTTGTGAAGAAATTAATCAAGACCTCGTTTATATCCTCGTTCAACAAATATACTCATCTGGTAACCAAATCCCTTATATGACCTTCTTCTGAGGATCCGAAAACCAAGTCTACCCATATCAGAACCTACTGACTTCATTAAACCAATCAATAAAAAGAAGAAGAACTCTGGATACAATGTAAGGTATAATGTAATGTTACAGTTAACTCTGAAGTAAGGTATACGATAATTTTAACTTTACATGTGGCGTGGAAGGTAATGTTAACTCACGAATCACGATGTAAGGTATAATGTAACGTTAACGGTATAATGTAACGTTAACTCAAGATGTACGGTTTAATGTAATGTTAACTCTAGATGTAATGTATAATGGAACGTTAACTCCATATATAAGGTATTTAATGTAACATTAACTCTAAATGTAAGGCACAAGTAAATGGTAACTCTAATTGTAAGATACAAGGTAATATTAACTACATATGCTAAGTAAAAGGTAAGGTTAACTCTAATTGTAAGATACAAGGTAATATTAACTACATAAGATAGGTAAAAGGTAAGGTTAACTTTAAATTTGAGGCAGAAGGTAATGAGTAGTGTACAACGGAAGGGGACCATTCGGTTCTTTTGCGATAGTCAAAACGCGACAACTAGCGCTGGATGGCGACAACTAGCGCTATCCAGCGCTAGTTGTCGCCATCCAGCGCTAGTTGTCGCTATCCAGCGCTGGATAACGCTGGCCAGCGCAAAATATATATGTTCGATAATTGTCGCTATCCAGCGCTAGTTGTCGCCATCCAGCGCTAGTTGTCGCCATCCAGCGCTAGTTGTCGCTATCCAGCGCTAGTTGTCGCTGGCTATGCGACACTGTCGCACGCGATAGTTTGCGATGGCCAGCGCAACTGGCCATCGCAGAAAACAGTTCGATAACTAGCGCTGGATGGCGACAACTAGCGCTGGATAGCGACAACTAGCGCTGGATAGCGACAACTAGCGCTGGCCAGCGCTGGCCAGCGCTGGCCATCGATATCCAGCGCACAATTTTTGCGCTATTACTCGTCAGCTAGCGCTGGCCAGCGCTAGCCAGCG